AAAATCACACCCATTATCAAATATACAAACATATTATTTAAAAAAAAATTCATGTAGCAATCCGTTAAATGAAACAACAAATACATTTTATAGTATTTAATGCCGCCAAATGTATAATAATGTGATATGGTTCTTCTTGATAATACAGTTTTCTTCTTTTCTACACAGATCTTGTGATACTAGATTATTCCTTTAATCTCTTTTTCTTTTACGAAATTACACAAAAAACCCTAAAAAGGAAATAAAATTATTAGTTCGTTCTACTATCTCATGTAAAATTGAAAAACCTACTGTTTATTCTCTGTAATGTATATTAGAAAAGATGCTAGAAATGTTTTAGTATTTGTTTTCTATCAACGTACCTTGAATATATTGAATGATCCTTATTAGAAATTATATATATATATATATATATAAATGGCAAATGTACAGTTAAATCTTAGAAAGCATGTGAAAAACTTTAATGATCAGTATAATTTGATTTTCTGTTAATATTATTTTCTTCTGTTTTATTCTTGTGAAATTAAAACATTCTTTCAATACTACATATTAATGGCATTTCTATTTTAACAATCTCTTATTTTTAAAGAATAGTTTTCTTTACATTACTTATTGCCAGTTGATGCTTAAAAGTGTTTTCAATTACCCAGTACAATGCTTGGCAATATACTTTATATATGTTAGGAATAATCTAATGTAATATATTTCCTAATTGTCTTTTAAATTTGTAATAACTAGGATGCATTCCTTCTTCAATTCTTTTCATAGAATTTTATAAGACATGGTTTTTTTTCTAATTTAAGAACGGAACACTTTTCTTAGCGTCTTCCAAAATCTTTCATGATTACAGTGCTGTTGTATTCTGCTTATTATAGTGAAAAATTATGAAAAATCATATGCTCCCTTTTTCAGTAAATTAATTGAACACCAATGCAGAAAGAATAAGTACATGAATGCTTTGAATAAATATATCCAACATTGTATTACAATATTGGTTTCTTCCTAATACAAGATAATAATGATTGCCTTTTAATAGATCCTTTTCACTGCTGCTGCATTCTATTTGCATAATGATTCACAAGGCATCTCTACAAAAAAGAAAGAAGTTGATACAAGTCTTCGATATTTTTTAGTAAGTCGATTAACAATAAAGTAATTCGTTACCTGGCACGTGGCTTGGCAATACATTTTGTACAAGAAAAGAATTCTTATTATAATGTATTTTCTATATGTCTTTTAAATTTGTAATAACAAGGATGCACACATTCCTTTTTCTATTCTTTTGATAGAATACTACTGCATGGTATTGTCGGATTCTTCTTATCCTTATTGAAAATATTGTGCTCTCTTTTACAGTAAAATGATTCAACATTTATCCAAAAAGAATAAGTTTCTGAATGCTTTGAATAAATATTTTTTATGAGAGTATTTTAATATTTGTTTTTAACTTACATCAGATTGTTGTCTTTACTTTTAAACGGTTTCTAGTTTTGATGATATCTTGTCATTGCATCTGCACTTTATTTGCACAATATTTCACTTGAAGTCTTTACAAAGGAGGAATTAGATGACACAAATTTTTATAGCGTTAACCTTAAGAAAATGAAATATATATCCATTTGTCTCATGGTGTAATGGGGACTTCTTCTTTGGAGTGTCATGGTCTTGGGTTTGAATTTAAAATGTAGAGCTGCATACTTATGTAAAACTATTTAAAAAGTCTATATATGTAATTTAAAAAATTTTTAAATCTAAGCTGAGGTCTACACACATGATATGAGTTAAATAATAATATAGTATAGATATTTCACTGGGTAAATTATTTAAACTGAACAGAACATTGGTAATTTACTTACTATTGTTTGTTATAGTAACTGGATAAATAGAATGTTTGAAATTAATGGATATTGCAAATTTAATGTAGAATAATGTCATTGTAAAGTTAAGACATAGCAGAATCGCACAGCAAGCCGTCAAATTTAACTATTTTCATTCCGAATTGGTGATCACTATAGAGAGAAAATAAAACAAATTAAAATTAATAAATAATATTATCCACTTGATTGTTGCATCACTTAAAATTTGTAAATTAAATACATTACACTGCACATAACCTATATTTGCATTGTACGTACATTGACAGCTGTTTCTTGCCCTAGCGGAATTAAGCGGAATTAAGTATTAATCACGCCACCGGCGCTATGGCCTCATTAGTTGTTTATTTTGCGATTGTAAGCAAAAGTTCATTACTTTAATAAACTTATTTCTCTGCAAATAGATAATTCTTATTATTTTGTATGAATTTATAATATTTCTTAGAGTCTAAATAATACGCCAATTATATAAATGTATATAATTTATGCTTTAAAATTAAATAAATCAAGCGTTAATGAGTGCCTGAAGTCTAGGTTAATATGTAATAATATCACGACGTTTTTTAAGAAAATTATTATTTCTAAAGCATATTTTATAAACTTTTATGATATCATACTTTTTTTTGGAGTCTGTAGAGTATTCCAAGTGCTTAAAAGTTTAACTTTTGATTTCTAGAAGTATATAAAATTAATTTTTTAATGAGTGACTAACATCTAGGTTAATAGATCATTATGGTCAGCTATGAAAAAGTATTTTTTGAAGCTTTTTTGTATATTTTTATGAAATCATATTATTTTTTAAAGTCTGTAGAGTATTTTGAATGCCTAATTGTTTATAATTTGTGTGTAGAAGTTTATTTAATTAATTTTTTAATAACTAACAAATGACAATGATGCTGGGCGTCTATTGAAAGCTGATTGGTTATTATCAACCAATCAGCGCTCTTGTTTTCAGCGGCAAACTCTGTACCTCGAATACCTCTTTTATCATTATGCGCTCCTGTTACAAATCTTTTAGTTTTGTGACGTCACGAGAATAATTTAAATCACCTGAAAATCTGGATTCCCATTGGATTTTAGAAAAACGTCAAAATTTTGATTCGAGAGTGGCATTTAAATGTCATTTCATAGTACATATAAATTTAATATATGTATTGATGAATTAAAATGATAGTTCTAGAAATATTTCTTATTTCATTTGAAGTTTACCTATAACATTGTTCATTTTGTTTTTATACTTTATAATTGTATCTATATAATTTTAATTATTATATTACATTACGAATACATGTCATACATATATATATTAAATTGGAATATATTTTATTTAGTAATTAAAATTCTTTTTGTGTATATAATTATTCTTTCCGAATGGAATGTAAAAAAATAAATAATTAATATTTCAATTAATAATAAAAACAAATATATATATAATTTTCATTGAATACATTAGGAGGTATTTGGAATGTGTTCCAAACTTTAATATTATATATATATATATAGATATATATATACATAAGTATGTTAGTTAAATCTTAACCGGTAGAGAGCGCAAAGTATCCAACGGTAACTGACTTAACCTAAACAGAATACTGGTGATGTTTGATGTGCTAACAGGTGTTATCGTAAGCAACACACGATGAACGGAACACTTTTCTTACTACTTCTTAGCTGCCTAATTACTTTGGACTTCGTGAATGCATATATTGATCAAAATGAAGGTTGTTTAATGTCAGTTTTTTGAATCATTGTTATTGTTGTCATCAAGTTTGTATTTTTTCTAACCTATTCAAAGAATTTTTCATCGTACATAGAATATCCTAAATACAAATAGTATGCATATATACATATAAGCGCGCGTGCGAAATGTATATATATATACATACCACACGACGCACAATGCTCGCTTACACACACGCACACACATACACACGCACATATATGTATTGTTTAAGGCGCATAAAATAAATAGATGTACGTGATGATTGGATCATACAATATTTTAGATTTACGGGAACAGTCAGGAATTAATCTTCTAGAACTGCTCCGCTCCTATGGAGAACGAGGAAGGGAAAACCGTAGGAATATTGATAACGATCTGGAAACATGGACTGGGAGATGGATGCCGGAAAGAATAAATGATCCTACTCCGCCTCCTAAAATATTACCTAAGAATGAATATTCGCATGATGATTATTCACAGAATTTTATAAATACAATACATATGGGTATAATATCTACACAATGCGATGACGCTAAGGTATATGCAGTTATGATAAAAAGTTCTTCGGTTTCTTTTTTTTTTACTTTACAACATTTTGTCACATTTCAAGCTCATAACGTTGAGTTTGTATTACAGACAAATTTAACGATTGATTGGGATGGATCACCGGAAAATTATACTTGTTATAATAGACGCTTTATACCTAACACAAAAGTAATTCCTATAGTATACTGTGAAAATGTACCGACAGCATACGTGGTAAAATTTTCTTTTCATTTCACTTTATCGCAATAAAAATTTCATTTACTATGAGAAATTTATATTTAAACATTAATTCAAATTTATTTTATCTTCTATGGATAGGCTGCTCATAAATGTATGAACGAGAAGATAGAATATGACAGTAATTTACCACTTTAGTGAGTATGTTACATACAGGAGAAACATTTTACATTTATATAAGTCTATACGCAAAAATCTTTTTTTTTTTCTTCAGTGGAACGCATAGACCATTGTGGCCTGTTTACGGAGAATATAAATTTTTACCAAAACAAAGATGGCTTCATAGTATGGAGGTAATAATAATTTTGTTCATCTCAATTCGCTAAGTATTCAAGATTTATATTCTTTAGCATGGAGCGGTTGTTATGTTATATCATCCATGCGCTAATCCATTAGAAGTGAAGCGTTTGAAATCTTTAATTAAGAGTTGTCTTCGGCGACATATTATAACACCGTACAATTATATGAATATAAATAGAGTAAGTTTATAGTTCAATTTGATTTAAACATGTAAATGACATTATATGTAATTAGAAGAAACTAATATATTATAGAATAACATTGTTATTATATACGATAATAATTTTGTATATTGTTTGACTAATGATGTATTTGCATATTACAGCCTCTAGTATTATTAACATGGGGTTGTTCATTGACAATGTCGTATGTCAATCCTACAGTAGTAAGACACTTTATTCGTGAAAAAGCTCTACATGGTCCAGAACAATTATCGGATGATGGACAATTTCAAGATCAACTTCTTTCTAAAGCAAAGATCGTTTATGATAAAGATGATACCATAATTTGCCCCTAATAAATGAACGACGTGCAATATTTTTCATGAGATTACAATATATTACATTAATTTTTGACTATATATATAATATTTAATGCAACTTTTCGAAAATTTTATATATATATATATATATATATATATATCCTAATATTTGGCCTTACATTTTAAGGATTCATTTCCATGTACTTTCAGCATTTTAATAATTAGGCTTTTAGGATAGTAAAATTAATTTTAAAGCACTGGCTGTGTAATAAAATTTATATTATTTTCTTAATAAATTGTAATACATGTCTATAACACGAGGCATTTCTATTAATTTTTATTTTATTCTATTATATTATTTCCTTTTTTTTAAATTAGGAGCGGAATAAAGAAAAGGCGAAAAAAAATGACACCTCCGTATATTCCCGATATATCATATATTCTTCACCGTTCGAGAAGATCATTAAATACATTGAACATCGTGTCGGTTTTTGAAATCTGTTATTTTTTTTTTGTTCTTTTTTTTTTGTTTTTTTTTTTTTTTAATTTTATTTCATATATACGGGCCGTTATCTATAATTGTATAGTAACTTCACTGCAGTGCTGACTATAAT